GGACCGGATCGTTGCCCTGGCCTGTCATTATGTATCTGGGCCGGCCCGGGAGGCGCGCATTGTCGCAACGCCGTCTGCTGGGCCGAGTTTTTTGTAGGGAAGCGGGTCCATTGGGGTCCCTGGGTTTATGAACCCGACAATAATACAAGCATTGTTTTTTAACATCTAAAACTCAACTAATATAATACAACCAAATATTTTTAACATCTAAAACTCTTGTTGAGAAAATTGATCTACAGTTTTTTGAAAGATTAAAAAGATGTCAGCCACCGGGTACCCCTCTAGCCAACAGATTTCGTTGTCCCTTGGCACAACAACCTTCAAGTTTCATGCTGACCATCGAAACAACATTTCATTTTTACATAAATTCTGATGAAAATTAAAAGCAGCAACTAAAAGTGACAAATTTACATGAGAAAATATACTTTAAAGATGATGAAATGAAAACCTGGAAACACCATTCCGCATTTCCAAAACCCACCTTGGTTGTGTCAGCAAGCAGAGAGCAGCAACAGCAGTGTGGCAGCAGGTAGAGAGCAGTAGCACCCTCGAGTCTCCTCCTATTTCCATTTTTTATCATATCCATGCAACTGAAAATTATGGATAAAAAATGATTTTAGAGATCTAGCAACAACAAATATTTTTTTTATTTATGAGAACCACAGAATTGTTTAGATGATAAAACTCTTGAGGATTCAATTTGCCAACAATGGTACCATAAATGTGCATTACTGCCGTGTCCACACATCAACGAAACAAATCACCACATATAAGCATTTCTTTTACAAAGCTATTTTTTGCCCGACGAACCGTACTTCATATGTGGATCTTACCTATTGGAATGGAAAAGTAGCGCATATGGGAAGGATTACAAACCTTGGCAACCTTGGTTTGCATCTCCCAGAGCGCAGTGGCAGATTCCTCAATCTCCTAGAGCCATTACTTCATTTTGTCAAACTCCTGCAGTTGTGCACGAGAACAGATCAGCAATGATGCTAGGGTTTGGGCAATGAGGGAATGGCTGTGGGGGCTGGGTAAACGAGGTGCAGAGCAGGACCTTGCTGCTTCATCGCCGATGGTGTCCACGTCTATGTCCTCACCATCGATTGGATCCCCATTGCTCCCCGTCCTCCATGGCCATGTCGCCGTCGTGACCTCGCTGCGTCGTCCCCCACGGGCAGAGATGCGGCCAGCGGTAGCACTGCGCGGCCAGTGGGGGGCGGGGCTGGCGGACGTGGGAGCCTGCGCACACCCACGACAGCAGCTGGCAAGGCTGTGGGTGCCGGCGCCGATGGCGCATCAACGGATGCAGCCCGACTTTTTTTTGCAAGAGAAGAAAATGGGGCGTGGGGATTGGGAATCGAACCCTGGCCGCCCATGGGAGTTGACGTCCGTGGCTCGTAGGGACGGAGTCACGTTTGAAGCCTGGAAGGAGCTGCGTTGAAGCCTGGAATTCCCCATGGCGTCCCAATTGGTTAGATTGTAGGGGCGATGATTTACTTCACGGGCGAGGTCTCTAGTTCAAGTCTAGGATGGCCTAGCTGCGCCAGGAAAAAGAATAGAAGAAGCACCTGACTCTTTCATGCATACTCCACTTGGTTCGGGGGGGATATAACTTAGTTGGTAGAGCTCCGCTCTTGCAATTGGGACATTGCGATTATGGGTTGGCTGTCTAATTGTCCAGGCGGTAATGCTTGTACCTGTACCGGTGGCTCACTTTTTCTAAGTAATGGGGAAGAGGACTGAAACATGCCACTGAAAGACTCTATTGAGACAAAAAGATGGGCTGTCAAAAAGATAGAGGAGGTAGGATGGGCACTTGATCAGATCTAGTACAGGATGATGGTGAAGCCTTCGGAGATTAGATCTACATCGTTGGTCTGTTGTATGAGGGTTTTTCTGGGTGCACAATCTGGTGTGGACGAAGGAACGTTATCTCTTTAGAGGATAATTTTCTGGGTAGACTAAGCGTAATTTTGATTGGTCCCTTATAATAGAGATGGTTGAGCATCCCTGGACGCTCGTGTTCGACGGCAGTGATGAGTGTTGAAACTTGTAAAACCTAGTGTATGTATCTACGTATGACCTGATCTTGCACATTTTTCTTTTCACTTTTTTCTGGAAACAAGAAATTTTATCATTACTAGCAAACATGCCCGTGCGTTGTAACAAGAGAAAATATGCTACATAACTATTTATGTTTTCCCATTTTCATAAAATTTGAGAGGTATAATTTATTTTGTGACGACATCCAACGAATAAGCAAATGTGGCAATAATATGACAATGTATAATTAATCTTGTATCAAACTAAAATATAATTTAGTTTTTTTTCTTGGGCTGCTAAGCACAAAAATATTTGCTTGTGCATATATTTTCTGTTTAAATTTTACAATATCCATATGCTGCGGTTAAATATAAGATTAAATCTGTAACTCAAGTCAGTGTGAGTTAGTTATCGATATGTCGAGGGCGATGATTATTTTATGGCAGAAGATCTTTCTCTATTTTTCATATTGTTCCATTATATTGTTAGGGATTGTAATGGTGTATACGTACAAGAAGCACATTTGTTTAGATCGGCCTGGATACACAGTGTCAAGCACACAGATCGATTGTTAGAATTAGTCCACGCGCCGGCGTCCGCCCGGCCCAGCGTCCCCGCCCCGGCCCGCCTCCACCCCCTCACCGCGCGCCCCCTGCCTTCGTCCGCATTCGCCGTGCCTTCGCACGCCCGGCGTTGGTGTCCGTCCCTTTGCATGCCCGGCGTCGGAGCCTCGGAGTCCGCGCGCCTCTCCCCTCCACGCAACGCGCCGGCAACGTCCCGTGCCGACGTCCGCCAGTCCCCACGCCGGCGTCCGTCCCTCACCTGGGGCAATCTGGACCATGGTTGTGTGTTTGGGCCACGCGGACGAGAGAGAGCCGGGCGAAGCCGAAATTTTCAGCTCTTTCTGCGCCAAACAACTCCAGTCACCGGTTTTCCTAGGACTTCTCCCACGAATCAGTTTGCTGGCCGTATGGGGAGCGGTAAAACAGCTCCTGAAGCCGTTTACGAAGCTGTACCAAACGCCCCGAACAATTGAACACCACATAGCCAAGCATCCCGTCGAACCGTGCCCCCTCGCATTTCTTGATATCACTCCACGGTCCTCCATTCCCGACCTATGAAAGTTGAGCCCCCGAGCGTGGGCCCCACCACGTGTACCAGTACTAGTCTCTGAGTCCATCGACAGGCAGTCAGTGGGCAGACTCGGAGAGTCAGCCTGTTCGATCGGCGGCTCGTCGTAAACGATCATAAATTTTCAGTTAAAACAGTATTTTTCTCTCACATAAATCAGCCAGTAGTACTTCTTCACAAATCAGCAACGATATGAACCAACCAACCAAACAGGTTGTCACTCGTTCGCGCAACCCAAATTTAAAATGGGGAAAGTCACTCGATCGCCACTGAGGCTGTCTTCTAGAGACGTTACGGAATTCAAATTTAAAATAGGTCTCTAATATAATATTTATAGTTTTTAATAGAGCACTTATATAGAAGACCTATTTTAGGTGGCAGGAGAGACATAACTAAAATATGAGTGTCCTCTCTTCTAAAGACTTATTTGCAGAAAATGTTGTCTTTTGAGTCTTGTTGTTGGAGAAGACAAAAAAAATAGGAATTGAACCTTTTGTCTATAGCGCTATCAAAGAAGATGTGGATTTTTAACTTTTTGCCATTCTTACGGATGACACTCCTTCGTTTGCCATTTTTATACGTGCTCCTACATAATTGCCATCGCAAATAGTGAACCTCCTACGTTTTTACTATTTTTATTGACATGGCACGCTAGCGTGGCAGTGAGCCTAAGAAGGCCTACAGAGCATGCGAAATGATCTATTTACCCTCGTTGCTTCTCTCCCTCTACTCGCTGACGCGTGGGCCCTACACGTCAGCTTTATCTTCAATCTCCAGCCATCACCCAAAGCCGAGCGGCTCGACGGCGAGCGGGCTCTGGCGGCGGAGGGCGGAGGAACGACGCGCTGGCACCTAAGCCGTGCTGCTATAGAGCTGCTGCCTCATAAAAGCTCCCTGCGCTTGCTCCTGTTTGCAGCTTCCACGGAGGCGGGGTAGAAGACTGGAGCTTGCACGGAGCTACGGCCATGACTGGAGCTCCATCGTCACCATCGATCTCCCTCATCCAGCCGTCTCTGCTACTCCCAACGGGCTCTGCGAGTTCGCAGTGGCATGACGACTTCACCCCGCTACTCGTCATTCGGCAACTCCCGCCCCATCGCCGTGAACCACCGTCGTCGCTGCCATTGACGTCCTGAGGTCGAGCTCACCGATCTCTGCATACACAGTAGCTCTCGCCTCCCTGTCTCCTTCGTTGGCGCCGCAAGGACCCGCTGCGGCCGCCTATCCACATCTCAGCGCCAATCCATGGCCGCAGTGGCGTCTTCCACCTCAACCGAAGCACTCCGCCGGAGAGCCTCGCTTCTACCCGTAGTTGGCTGCCACCAGCCCCTCTTTGCCGCAAGAACTCCTCCATCGACTTCGCACGCGGTGCCTTGCTCGTCGTCCTCGGCTGCTCGGCAGCCATGGAGGGATGACGAAGCTGGAGGTGCCTGGCTCCCATCCGTGGCTGGAGGTTGAAGACAAAGCTGACGTGTGGGGCCCACATGTCAGCGAGTAGAGGGAGAGAAGCAACAGGGGTAAATAGGTCATTTCACATGCTCTGTAGGCCTTCTCAGGCTCACTGCCACGCTGGTGTGCAATGTCAGCAAAAATAGCAAAAACGTAGAAGGTTCGCTATTTACGATGATAATTGTGTAGAAACACGTATAAAAGTGACAAAAGGAGCTAAAAGTTAAAAATTCAAAAACAAATAGGCGTTGGATTTTGGGTCGCGGTCGTCGGAGACGGTCTCGACTGACGCAGACAAAGCTCTCCCGTCCCGCTTGGCGCTTCGAGGAGCTCCAGCCGTCCAGGTCCTGGTGCTCGTCGGCGACTGGCCGGAGATGGCCTTCCTCCGCCGCTCCTCCACCACCGCCGCCCTCTTCGCTCTCCACCTCCTCACCACCGCCTCCGTCGCGTCCTGGCCATCGTCCCTGCCAGAGCAGCAGGACGACATGCCAGCGCTGCTCCACCTCAAGCGCGGCCTCACCTCCGGCGCCGGCTCCGGCGACGCTCTCCGCCAGTGGTCGCCGGAGTCCGGTGCCCACCACTGCTCCTGGCCGGGGGTCACCTGTGACGACGCGGGGTCCGGGCTCGTCGTGGCCCTCGCGCTTCCGTCCCCACCCGGCGGCCGCCTCGCAGGGGAGCTGTCCCCGGCGGTCGCTCGCCTCACCGAGCTCAAATCGCTCGCCTTTCCCTCGGCGGGGCTCCGCGGCGAGATTCCTCCGCAGCTCTGGCGGCTGCGGCGCCTCCAGGTGCTCAACCTCGCCGGCAACTCCCTCCGTGGCCGCCTGCCGGCCACCTTACCGGAAGGGCTGAAAAGCTTGGACCTTTCCGGGAACCGGCTGAGCGGGGCAATCCCGCCGGCGCTGGGGAGCTGCGCCACGCTCCGGCGCCTGCGCCAGTCCTCCAATTCGTTGGCTGGAACCATCCCGCCGCGGATTGGGGAGCTCGCGCGTCTCCGGGCTCTGGACCTGTCAGGAACAGGCTCACTGGCGGCGTGCCACCGGCCCTCCTCCATTGCAGAAGCCTCGTCTGGATGGATCTCAGCGGCAACTTGCTCTACGGCCGGCTTCCCTCAGGCCTCGCGGAGAAGAACCTGAAATTTCTCTCGTTGTCCGGCAATAATTTCAGCGGTGAGATACCTTCCGGTTTGGGCCAACTGGGGTCGCTGGAATTTCTTAACCTGTCCAACAATTCTCTATCAAGGGAGGTTCCTGATGATCTTGTGGCACTGCGAAATCAAACTGTTTTACTGCTTGACAACAACAAACTATCTGAGGAGGAGGAGATAACTGCTGGTGTTAATGCTGCTGCTGCCGCCTCACCAGTTCATTTCATTCAGTTACTGGTGAACTGTTTCCTGTTTCTCCTATGCCAACAATTATCCCTGAGCTGACTGAGACAAGGCCAGGCACTTCTAATGGCAGCCCCAGCAGCAGCAGTAGCAGCAACGGTGATGGTGGCTTGGGTATCAAAGAGATTGTTGCCATAGCTTCAGCATCAGCCATTGCTGTGGTTCTGTTAGTTGCACTCACCCTGTGCATCTGCACAAGGAAATGGCCTCAGAGAGCATCAAAGCGCTCTTTTAGGGGAAGGGAAGTCAAGATTTTCGCCGATGTTGAAATTGGAGCCCCCCTGACATATGAGACTGTGGTCCGCGCCACTGGGAATTTCAATGCTAGCAGCTGCATTGGCACCGGCGGCTTTGGCGCGACATACGGAGCCGAGGTGGCACCTGGAGTTCTTGTGGCAATAAAGAGGCTTGCTATTGGGAAGCAGCATGGCGACAAGGAGTTCCAAGCAGAAGTGAGGATCCTTGGGCAATGCTGTCATCCTCATCTTGTCACTCTCTTGGGGTACCACATCAGCGAGTCGGATATGTTTCTGATATACAACTATCTGCCAGGTGGCAACCTGGAAAGGTTCATACAAGAGAGGTTCATACAAGAGAGGGGTAAGAGGCCAATCAGCTGGAGAAGACTTCACAAGATTGCTCTGGATGTTGCTCGTGCGCTTGCGTACATGCATGACGAATGCGCCCCCCGCATTCTGCACCGAGATGTCAAGCCAAACAACATATTGCTCGACAATGAATGCAACGCCTACCTTTCTGATTTTGGATTGGCGAGGCTTCTCCAGAACTCAGAAACACATGCGACAACGGATGTTGCTGGTACTTTTGGTTATGTGGCTCCTGAGTATGCAATGACATGCCGCGTGTCTGACAAGGCAGATGTCTACAGTTACGGAGTTGTGCTGCTGGAGCTGATTTCAGACAACAAAGCACTGGACCCATCATTTTCTCCATATGAAAATGGTTTCAACATTGTCAGCTGGGCTGTGAATCTTATCCAAAGAGGCAGGGTTCGCGAGTTCTTCATCGAAGGCTTGTGGGAGAAGGCCCCGCATGATGATCTGGTTGAGTTCCTGAACCTGGCGGTCCGGTGCACACAGGAGTCTCTTGCTTCTAGGCCCACAATGAAGCATGTTGTTCGACGCCTAAGGGAACTCCGACCCCCTTCTTACTAGGAAGGCAAGGCGCTCAACACCTAAATACTTAGCTAAGAAGAACTGATGGGCTGATAGTTAGGTTAGGTGGTCTCCCTGCCAAGCCAAGGGGGGGGTTAGCAGCTGTGGTAAGGAGGTGCCAACAATTTTATCTCCTCAGCAGCCTCCTCTCCACCAAGTTTTACTGATGCATAACATTCTAGGTAGATGAATGCTTCCTCTAAAAATATGAAAAATATAGAAAAAGAAAAAAAAAGTGAAAAAGGAAAACCGGCTGTGATACGAACCATGCATCTCCTTCCAAGTTCCAATGCAGGAGAGCGGTTTAGTTTAGGAAATATGAATCGACTCGCGCTTGGCAGACCTCCCTATATTTTTAATACAAGCTACTGACATTGCAACGTAATTAATGAAGAAAGAGAACAAAAATCCTAGAAATGGTTTCCTCATGAAGAAATCAGGTCTTCTATTGATCCAATGCACCAAGAAACCATGAAATCGTCATTGGGGAGAAACAACCAGTTTCCAGAGGACTCGTGCCACACTCCCATTGGAGGAAGAAGATAGAGTTGGGAGAGAGAAAGATAAAATAATTATTACACAAAGACACCTCCACTGTGGAAGGTAGTTTCTATAGATGATTTCTTGTGCTATGGAAACCGCATCAGTTTCTTTTATTGGGACTGCCCTAAGAGACAGGGAACCATTGCTGACTTGCATATACTCCCTCCGCCATAATATATAAGGCATAACCACTTTTTATTCATGTCACGTACTATAGGGCATGCTCTCTCTAGACGCACATACATCGATGCAGTGTTGAGAGAGAATTAAATGTGTTATTGCTCTTTGAATCAGAGGTGGTTACGCCTTATATATTAGAACCGAGGGAGTAATCGAGAAGAAACTTCACAAATCACAACACACGTACTATCTAGAAGCATCACTTAATTCCGTTCCTAACCACCCACAGCCAGGCTTTCCTCCTAACATGCAGCCTGCGCCTTCTTCCTTCCTCTACTCCAAGCTTTTGATCAGTCGATCACATCTAGTACAAATTAAGAGGCTGCAAAACTTAGAAATGCTACCAAAATAGTAGCAAAATCTTGGTATCTAAACACGCACCAGAAAAGAAACCGCTGTCTGTAACATCATTTGTCAAAATCACTAGGGACCCATCTATTTCTTCTACCAATCAGCACTGTGCATACAGTTAGAAGAAGAAAAAGGCAATTTTCAAAACACGCCCTGAACGCATCCTGCATTCACAAAGGAACCAAAAGGCATTCACATAGTACGAGATTCGGTAATGATGTGACGTGATTAATCGGAAGCAACTGGCTAAGCCTGTTCGGCAGGCTGTATCGTATCATGGATTATTTACTGCTGGCTACTGTTTCTGACTATAAATTTATGGTCGTTTACGAGCAAACGAACAGGCTGGCCGGCCTTGTTTAGTTCGGCCGGAATCGGTATTTGCATAGATGTGTAGGCAAACACTGTAGCAATTTCGTTTGTATTTGTGAATTATTGTTCAAACATTGACTAATTAGGCTCAAAAGATTTGTCTCGCAAAGTTCAATCAAACTGTGCAATTAGTTTTTTATTTCATCTATATTTAGTACTTCATATATGTACCGTAAATTTGATATGACGGTGAATCTTCTTTTTACATAGTACCAAAATTGGGAGTTTGGGGAACTAAACACAAACATGGCGTAACATCGTTTTGGAAAATCAGTGGGAATCTGTCTGGCTTTCTTCTCCATCACAATCGTGTGAGTTGAGTGCAGATGCATCCAAAATACGAAAAGGGCGTGACCGAAAATACTGGAGGCACATGATTCAAATTTGAACAAGGGAAAAACAAAATACTAGTCATGCTGATTTTGACAGTGGATCTCCAGCTGGGAGCTATGTATACCCCTCTTTTTACGGATGCCAGATTCAGCATTTCACCAAACATACATTTCCAAAAGAGAATTTTTTTTGGTGCAAAAGTACAATCAGACAAGAGCGAAAACCGACAACAAATGAGGCCCCGTTTAGTTCCAAGCCAAAAACCAAAAATTTTCAAGATTCTCGTCATATCAAATCTTGCGGCACATGCATAGAGTACTAAATGTAGACGAAAAAAAAACTAATTACACAGTTAATGAGAAATCGTGAGACGAATCTTTTAAACCTAAATAGTCCATAATTTGACAATTTTGTCTAAATAAAAACAAAAGTGCTACAGTAGCTAAAAGCCAAAAATTTTCGGAACAAACGGGGCCTGAATGCGGAGGAGGATCCTGCACCTCTGGCGATGAATGCCATCCTGGCCTCCGCTGGCGCCGGGGGACGCCGGCGAGTCAGTGACGGTCGCTGCGCTGGTCTAGAGAGAGCGTGACGGCCGCCGCCTGGCGCGGACGGAGGAGACCCGCGGCGGGTCGTAAGGAGCGGAGAGTTTATGAGAGCTGGGCCGTGGTGTGGTTGCTTTTGCTGCTATTGGGCTGTGAGTCCGCCAGGAAGCTAGCTACTGGTGCCTGGGCTGGTGTGGGCTTCAGTTGAAGAAACATGAAACGTTTTTTTTTTTTTTGGTTTGTTTTTTTAAAGGAAGACGATTTTGGCCTACTTACTGCTACAAGCAAACATGCAAGTGTAATCGAAAATTGGAGCACCAAGCTCGTTCATAATAACACCCAATTCAGTAAGACGACAGTACTGAAAAAACTGAATGCTGGCATGTCATAATATCCAATACAAAAACACAGACAAACAAGTGACTACATCTGATCCTGCCAGCAGGGACGACAACAACGTCAAGGAAATTGACCATCGAAATTCCTTGCATTGCAACTCAGCCTTGCTACCTCTTCCACCACCTTCTCGTCAACAGCAGCCTCAGCGATTCCTTCCTTTCTTCTATCTACTCCAGTAGTAGTATTCAATTGTAGAAGTTCCAGTCCGGGTCACTCTCCGTGATGGGGGCTGACCAAAAGGGTGCTCCCTGACGTAACGTAACGCTTCCTAACGCTGAACATCCTCTGCAGTGGCAAGGCTCTCCAGGTACAAGCGAAGTTCTCCACCAGATCCTGCTCATGGAGCATTGTTAACCCATAAGGCCATAACCATGTTTGTTTCGCTGAAAAGCCAGTCTAAACAGTATTGTTCGCTGATTTATCGTGAGAGAAAAACACTATACCATGACTGATAAGTCAGGACTGATAAGTTCAAGCGAATATGGTAACCACTCTTCAATTCTATACACTGTACTACTGCGTTCTAAGCAGAATGTAACTACGCCTTATTTTATTAGTAGTCTGAGTGTCTGATGAAGTCGATCGAAGCTTATTATATTATATTACCCAGTGCATCGTCCTTGTCGTTCTTGTAGCTGTAGGGGCAAGGGAAAATGGCGGTGTGCGGCTGCACAGCAGACATGCATCAAAGGGAGACAATGCATGTGTCAAGTGTGTGAAGTATATACAACCCAGTCTAGTAGTGAGCATTAGCAGCTGTGGTAGATGTTGCGTATGAAGTAGGAACGAACAGGAAAAAGGCAGTACCGGATTGCGCAGAGCTTTGTAAGGGGAATCGTCCACGAGGAGGGTGTTTGAGTGCGAGAACTCCCCCTGCTGCCAGGGAAGGTCAGGCTCCTCCTTGTCCCACAGCTTCTTCAGTTCCTTCAGCACTAGCAGTTTGACCTTGTTTTCAAGGGTGTTCAGTCCAGGTGCATTTAGACAAGTCCTGGCCGAATCGATCAGCACACCTGGCAAAATGAGAGAAACGAACGCATATATAGGATAGGCTGAACCGATCAGTTCGTTCTCCAACAGCAGATGATGTTTCAGTTCTCTCATCAAGATACTAACAAGTGTGTCGACATTAGCTCTCTGTTGTAAATAAAAGAATATTATATCATAATCAGCAATTCAAAATATTATTATATCATAATCAGCAATTCAGCACCATGCAGCAGAAATATATATACCGACCTGCTTAAAGAGATGCAGGGGAAGTACAGACAAACAAGTGACTGCATCTGATCCTGCTTGCAGGGATGACGACAACAACGTCAGGGGAGTTGACCATCGAAATTGCTTGCATTGCAACTCAGCCTTGCTACCTCTTCCACCACCTTCTCTTCAACAGCAACGTCAGCCATTCCTTCCTTTCTTCTACTCGAGTAGTAGTATTCGCTTGTAGAAGTTGCAGTCCGGGTCAGTCTCTGTGATGGGAGGCTGACCAAAAGGTAAGAATCAGTGGATCTAGGAGAGGAACTTGCACTGGATCTTGGATCTCACCTGGAGTAGATCTTGAAACTGAAATGGAAATGATGCTGGTCGACAGCGAGGCCGGCAGTCACGTATCGATGGCGAGGAAGCGGCGGAGATGAGACAAGGAAGGCCGTGGCAGCGGCGGTGAGGCGAGGGCGGTGGGGATGGGTCGAGGACAGCGTCGACGGAGGCGGTGGTGGGCGAGGACGGCGTTGATGAGACGGTGGTGGGGCGAGGACGGCGTCGATGAGGCGGTGATGGCGGCGGCAGGGTGCTTTCTTCGTCTCGCGCATTGCCTCGCTCGGGGAAATGCTCCCTGAACCCGAGCGTGCAGGAGGAGGCACCCCAGGAAAAAGCCTGGGTTCGGGTCGAGCTCCCCCTCCATGTGGGCTTCCAAATGAAGGGGATTCTAGCCCGAAGAAAAGACCGGGATATCCACAGGGATCTGGACTTCCAAAGGAGGCCTATGATGTCGAAGGAGATGTAGGATAGAACGGATGATTTGCATCTGAGCGAGCGACAGTGGTGGTGCGTTTCGGGCTTTGGGGAACGGGACGGCTAACGCCCGGATGTCCGACCCAAGGCCCGCGTCTGGACGCCCGCGTTTCCTGTGTTCGCACCAGCAATCCATGCCCACGCTCGCAAAAAAAAACAACACGCCCCCACCTGCGCTTAGGTTTCACGTGCCCATGCGGGGCCCGCGCCACCCGGACACCGCCAAACCACGCATGGGCACCGATCACATCCCCTCCGCTTCTCACGCGCATTGCAACATGTGCAACACCCGATCTACTTTTAAAATATCCAGATATAACACTTGCAACATACGTCTGAACACAAATGAGACACTTAAACATGCTTTTTAAAACACATGAAAACAATTTGAAAACCATTGCAAACATACGCAATATCGAGATAAAACACTTGCAGCACATGTGTGAAACGTATGCAACATCCAGATAAACACACTTGCAACAATACGGCCAAAAACATAGATAAAACATTGGGAATAGATCTTTGCATCATATATGTACAACCATTGCAACATATACAACATTTCGATCTACTTTTGCAACATTTATCTGAAACAATTGCAACATACCTCTGAAACATCCGAAACACTTGAAATATAGACTTGCCCCATGCGTTTTCAGCACACATCGCTATATCTCCTTGGGTTAACATTTCTTAGCCAAACTCTTTACTAAGTTGTCATCCCTAACATGATGGTAGAAATGCGTTGTTGGTAGTTATTGAGAACACTTGTAAATTTACATATACTAAGTAATCCACAAGCGCACAAATAATATACCATTGTAGCATTTTACTCGGGAGTATACCAAGTATCGTTATTTATATTTTATCCATAGGGAGGATCTATGGAGTTGTATTGGCATAGATATATTGACAAATATATATACTTATGATAAAATCAATCTTATGCTATGGCAGAGGTAAGTCAAGGGATAAATATATAATAAGTGTAAGGTAATAATGATATTCCAGAGATAGAAATAGAGACTCATAAAATGTAGTACGGCTAAGCAGGAGATTCGTTAAGAGCAAAAGATTTCTAAACCATTCCTTGTTTACTAAGTCTTTTATACACCCAAATATATACACTCTCATCTATAGTATAACTAATTTTGGATCTATGCATAAGAAACATTACGAAGAAAGATTAAGAACGAAGCTTGTCTCCCTTCGCAACCGCGTTCTACTTGCTCTACAAATGAAGAGTGGACTACAAAGGACTCAACGGGGGTGTCACATCCGCAATCTACCGCATGACCCAGAGTGCAGAATGCATCCGTGGGCAAACAATATCTAAGCACCATGCTTACATAATATCGATCACTTAACTCACTCGAGTACTGAGCTAAGAGCTTTGCGAACATATGCATAAATTCATCATCAATCATAACTATATCAAGCATACAACTACAGCAAACTAGGAACATAATAAATAGCAACATAATATCGAAGTAGCACAAAGTCATAAATATAGAGATACAATGGCTATACTAATCTTCAGACGGCAGATTCAGAATTCTAAGCAATAGCCCACACTCTACTCGAACCTTGCTAGCTAGCCTATACTAGAAACTTGAAGAATTGGAGCTCTACTATCTTCTCTCTGAAAACCCTAATTTCTGGTCTAAACTTGACTTATGGCAGTATGCTCTAGAGGGAGACAGGGGCTGATTATATAGGCTAGAGCATCCAACGTGAGCCCTCGGATCAAACCGACTTAAAGAACGGCGGAGATGCAACCTCAGAGGCGGTGAAGAACCGACGTAGCAACGGGGCTGACAGGTGGGGCCCACATGGGCCGGGGGGCCACCTATCACCCTCTCGTCCTCTGCTTTGGTGACGTGGCTTCTGGAGTCCTCTAGAACCTTCTGGAGCTGGTTTCACTGCAGATAAGCGTGATTTTATTTGACGTTTTGATCCCCCTTGACAGTTTTCTAAAATAACCCTGCTAAAAACACAAATTCACAAAAACTCATGAAAATTATCAGTTTAAACCCCTAAGTTTATGTTAGTGATCATTTTCATGTATTATTTCAAGTTATATTAAAGTTTATAATGTATGATAACTACCGTCAACATCTTGCTGCTTGTGAAATCGAAGCTTGTCGGCGTGTGAAGTTCACCGTAGGCAACTGCGCCGTTGCCACCATCGACCAGGCGTACTCCGCCTACTACGAGGCCGCCGGGGACCCATTCATGACCGCTGGTAATGTGGGCTTGATATGCGCCCCCCCAGTCTCCTACAGCCGGCGCCACAATCCCCACCACCATCGGATCTCTTGATGCGCAGTGGATCTGGTGGAAGGAGCAATGAGGCAGAATTTGGCAGAGGCGCGCAGCGCACGCGATCAGCCACCCCGTGCGGGGGGGCTGCGCCGCACAGCTGGGGCATCGCCAGGCCAGTCGTGCGCAGCGCGCGGAGGTGGTCGTGCTTTGGGCCACGTCGGGAGAGAGGGAGAGAGAGGAAGGGGAGGCTAGGCGGAGGCGCGGACGGTGCGAAGCCAGCGATGTCGACCGGCTGGGGTGGGAGCAGCGCTGTCGCCACGGCGGCCGCGGGTATGGAGGAGAGTGTGCTTTGATGATTTCTTTTCTTTTTTGCAATGTGAGCGAGCGACGCGAGTGGTGCCGCGTAGGAGTGCATAAGAAAGCCTCCGTAAGCATCGCTGCCTTCCAACGGATGGACGGTTCTGGACAGAGCGTTCCTGTTTGGGAAATAGCCCGACGGCACACACCTTGTTGGAGTTGGAGTGATCGATCGGCCTAGCACGGTCTGGATTTGTCCAGTTCCACTACATGTTGTGTAATTTGTGCTGGACACTCACGAACCTGGAGAGCGCGGGAGAGACCAAGCAGGTTTTTGAACTGTTCCATACTAGCGCGACAGAGCTTGGTTCGTTTATCTTATAATCCGTATTTTTCAGCTTGTTTTTTCAACTAGAACAGTATTTTTCTCTCACAACAAATTAGCCGGAACAGTATTTCGGATTGTTTTTTCCAGTGAAGCGAACGAGGCCTATATAGTACTCGAATCCAACACTACATTTGGCTACAAAGTTCACCAGAAAATTGTGTAACAAGATTCAGATTGCGAAAAACAACATAAGAAGAAATTGAAGAGACCGAGTATCAACACTTTCGAAACAGATTATACGGACACGTGCAGGAGTGGTCCGCGGCAGGTCCCGTCTCAGGCACTCTCTCAGCTCGCCTCGCCGCCCTCCTCCTCGATCCAGCACGCGCTGACGCGCCGTACGCCCGCCATGCCTCCGCTCCGCTCCACGCGCTCGTGGTAGGGCCGTGCGAATTCCAGCGCGCGGCGCGGAAAAAACCATGCACAGTCTCAGTATCCCCCAGCGGACCCATAGCGGGCAGCCGGTCAGTGTGGTAGGTCGCGACGGCCGCCACGCGCGCTGCAGAGTGCAGATCCCGCCCATGCGCGCGCGCGGCGAGGACCACGACACCGCGCGCAGCGCAGCGCAGGCGAGAGCCACCCCGCCCCCGGTGCAATAATGCAGCGTAGGCCCGGCGCCTCGGCCGGCTGGCTGGCCGCCTCCTTGCTCGGACGGCGGAGTGCGGTCATGGCATGTAGAGGCGGTTGCCGCACTTGCACCTCCACGCCTCCGGGTAGTACTCGGTGGTGACCGGCACGCCCGGCGGCACGGCCACGTGCACCGGGTGGCACGGGCTGCAGTCGCCGCACTTGGACGTGCAACGCGGCGGGTCTGACCCCGGACCATCCGCCAGCAGCCGCCGCCATTGCCCTTGGCCACCCGTGTTGATGTCGCACCCCTGCGCGAGCAGCAAGAAGAATAATGAATCATCAGTGATGGCTGCTGAGCCTGAGGATACGTCGTCGTCGCGCACGCGTGGAACGTACGTACGGATCAGTCGGTAAGGTCGCTATCGTGGGTCGGTGGGTGGTGTTGCCATTGCCGTTGCCGTTGCATACTTGCATCGATCGATCGGCATTCGGCAGTGACGTATGGTCAAAAGGCCATGGGACCCGGCGGCGTTGAAGGACTGTCGGACGGGGCTGTGCGAGCTGGCATGGCCGTGCCTGTGCGTCTGTGCCTGTAATCGCTACGGACTACTGGGAGCTGCAGTGTGCACCGGCCATGGCGGAGCCGGGTGCGGTTGGCGTGTCCTCTGTGGGTTTAGAGATTTGATGTGCTAGCGGCTGGTCCATGGCGCATCGTCATGAATATGAACAAGGCAACAGCTAATCAAGTCGGTTTGATCTCTGCGCGGTCTCATCGGTACGTGTGCAGTGGATAGAGGACAGTAGGTCGTAGAGACGAGAGGGAGATGGATACGAACCTGATTACCGCAAGATGCTGCCGCTCGTCCTCGTCTCCAGGATTCTGAAGAGCAAAAAGGAAAACAAGAGGACAATGAAGTTATTACTTTGGGAGTAGTGATCCTCAATCCTAAGCTAAAACACATAACTGCAGTGAAACCAAGATCAATCCGGTGCTAGACTAGTGCAGGCAGCTACGTGCATAAAGAACATAAAGAACACATCATGAGGACGAAGCAACTAGTGAATGAACCTTGGCAAACATGAACCACGGATGAGAAACGTGTGACACCAATAACTCTGCAGAGCAGGGTCACCAGAGAGAACCGGGAAAAAAAAATCCGAAATGCGGCAAACATCTGCATAAGAGTGAGAACGCCTTTCTTGATTCGTTACCTGAACGGAGCAACACAGTACTCCCCCTGCAGCCGCTGCCACTGCAAGCCCAGGACCGGACGCCGCACAGGCAGATGATGGACACGGCGAAGCACAGCCCCGCCAGCTTTAGCATGGATCTGCCACACCACCTCCATGTCCATCTCCGCCTCCCCCGGGAGCACTCCATGGCCTCCCCTTTTTTCAAGCCCCTGCCCTGAAGCCGCAGCAAACTGTAGAGCCGGAGCTCGGCAGACAGCCAAATTTAGGAAGCAGAAGAGAGGCACGGGGAGGGGGCGTGCGCTCGCGCGGCGCACCCTCACTGACTGCTGCTGCCTTGTAATATAGAACCCCCTGCGCTGCGTCCCTCTCCCGCTGGAACGCCACTGTAGCCGAGCCAGATCTCAGCGCGGCTACCTCAGACAAGACTACCTGATCGTCAAGTCCAGGCCTTCGTTTATATCCATGGGTAAAGTTTTGAGGTGTGTATATCGGGTATCATATGGGATATGGATGTTTGGATACTAATAAAAAAATAAATTACGAAATCATCAATAATCCATGAGACGAATTTATTAAGCTTAAGTAATCTGTCATTAGCATATGTATTATTGTAGCACAGCATTGTCAAATCATGAACTAATTAGATTTAAAAAGTTCGTCTTATAAATTAGTCGTAAACTGTGTAATTAATTTTTTTAATTCTATATTTAATACTCTATATGTATGTCAAACATTTAATCGGATAGCGAGTAAACCCTCAGTCGAAGAAAGGCCTCGATACATCAGAGAGAGAGAGACACTGTGCACGACAATACAGACTATGGCTTTGTTTAGATTGGAAAAATTTCAAACCGATGAATAGTAACATTTTCGTCTTATTTGGTAAATATTGTTCCATCATGGACCAACTAAGTTCAAAAGATTCATCTCGTGATTTCCAACTAAACTGTGTAATTAGTTATTTTTTTTACCTACATTTAATGCTCCATGTAAATAGCTAAAAATTAATATGATGGAGAGATAATGAAAAAACTTGAAATTTTGAGGTATCTAAACCAGGCCTATACAGAAGAGAAGAGAGCATGCAGGCAGGGGCAGTAGCTGCGTAGTACACTGACTTTAGTAGTGCACGTAGCTTCGCATCCTCCGCCTCTCGCCTCACCCGTCACTTCAGGGTAGACTTCTAGGAGTAATTGTTGTTGTGTGTGTCCGAGTGACTGCCTGATTGCCCGGTGCCGGCTACGGATAGAGATGGATGTCAATCGGCGTCACCAAATGCTACTAACGGATACTCACTCAGCGCTCGTTTAGTTCGCAAAATTTGGAATTTGAGATACTATAATATCTTCGTTTTTATTTAGGTAAATAGTATTCAAACATTGACTAATTAGGCTTAAAACGTTCGTCTCGTAATTTCCCACCAAACTGTGCAATTAGTTTTTCTTTTTATCTACATTTAATACTCCATACACAGGCCGGAAACATTCGATATGACAGGTACTGTAGCAATTTTTTGGATTTTGGGTCCAACTAAACAAGGGCTCAGAGTCACTCGTCTTTGTCCTTGTTTAGTTTCACCTAACTTTCCAAAAATTTGCTACAGTATCTGTCACATCAAATATTTACGGTCTGTGTATGGAGCATTAAATGTAGACGAAAAGAAAAACTAATTGCAAAGTTTGGTGGGAAATTGCGAGACAAACGTTTTGAGCCTAATTAGTCCATATTTAAACACTATTTGTCAAATAAAAACAAACGTGCTACGATAGACCAAAATTCAAATTTCTACCACTAAACACAGCCTTTCTTGACCCGTGGCCCGCGGGGAAAGGAAGGACGGTGGAGGAGCTGCTGCATCCATGTGCACCCGTAAAGCCTGCGGTACTTGACAGAAGTTAACGCAAACATAGGGGCCCAAGCCCAGCTAGTGGTCCAATAGGGAGACGCACATAATGCGGGTCTGGTAATCTGCAACCCGTTCGATTCGTTGTGGCCCTATCATAAACGATTATAAATTTTTAATCGAAATAATATTTTTTTCTCACATAAATCAGCCAGCAGTATTTTTTACGAACCAGCAACGAAACGAACCAGCCAATCGAGAGTAGCACATGTGCAACCGTGGATTCGATTTAGATTTGTATTTGTGTATATTATGATATATAGGATAGGAGGCACTGGCTGACGAATGATGATGTTTAGGGTTTAAGGTTGTTCTTGTGCACGCGTCGACCGTGCATCAGTGTGTAAGAAGAGCTCGATCGAGTTGGCTCTGTTCGTTTTTCTTATAATCCGTCTTTTTTAGTTTGTTTTTTTAATGAAACCGTGTTTTTCTCTCACAACAAATTAGCCGGAACAGTATTTCAGCTTGTTTTTTCAGCGAAGCGAACGAGGCCTATATATATGTTCGCCGTGCTTCCGGTTATCCTGTATGAGCGTAGCTGATCTTGGTTGAAAATGAAAGGGAACATGGCTGCTGTTTTCTTTGGGCATGTTCTTCGCAATGGCAACCAACACTTGCAATCACCCAGTGCAGCAGTACGTGCAACACAAAATGGAATACTGAATTCCGAATACTACCAAGCAGCTCCATTGCTCCTTGGGATGGGCGAACAATCGGCGACAAAGTCAAAGAGAAGAGCCGGAGCAGAGCAGGTGGTGAGCTTGTGTGAAGCAAGCAACGCGAGGATTGGGCACGCATCGGTTAGTGGACTCTGCGGCTATGTTCAGGCATCCCAAGATAGCTTGTCGCCTAAAACTGTGCTGTATGAGTCCTCCTACTTTTCTTACCGTGCTCAGTCACAGTGTCCTTTGATCAGCAGGCTTTACGGATTACAGTCTACACAGGTCCCCCTTTACAATGGGCACACACGCAGCGAAGAACAAGGAATGCTGCGGGTCTGCGGTTGCGTGCTGCCTACCCGCGTTGTCCACCGTACACGGCCATCGATCGGGCCATACGGACGTGCAGGCGAAACCACAACAAGCGCACGGGAAAAAAAATCACCGGTGACAGTTTTTATGGTCATATGGAGCAACCCTGTGTATCTACCCTGAATTCTTGATACATGTCTATGTGTTTTACTTTTACCTGATAAATAGAAGAGTATGGTAAAATTTCTTCATCCATGAGTGTGTTAATGGGCATAAACTTCAACCCATAAACTTCAACCCATCCGTTAGAGTCGGTGCGGGTATGCGTTCATGATATGTGTGTGACAACAATGTCTAGCTAGAGATGGCAATGGATATATAAAACCCGAGTAGCCGACAGGTTTTGTCCAAAAATAGCGTGTATGAAAATGTTTCATCATCCGTGGATATGCTAATAGTCGAAAATCTCTACCCATCAGTTAGTACCCACATCCACGTATCTATGGAACATTTATATCAATCACAGTCATACATTTGCTATTTCACTCTCATCAATTTAGCCCAAAGATAGACAGTACACACTCATGACTCAATCTAACTGTGAAATACACATATATCCACTAGATCTATGGCAATTAATACACAGAAAAGACCCACATAACCATAACACAAAATAGCTCAGTCGACTAACCCACGGCAACCCACGATCTATGGCAATTAGACTATTAATTAATTGTGAAATTTTGTTGCTATGCTACCGATGTCGATTGCTATTTACAAATATTTGACATTGTATGATTTTAATCATTTCAAACATTCATGTCCTTCTCTCTGTAGCAGGTATGCATTCAGGTAAGGATTGCCTATTGGGTATTTTTACTCGCCGGAACCGATATGGGTAAACTCTTTTACTAATGTACAGGTCCCGCAGGTATTTTAGTGGGTACAATTTTTTCTAGTGGGTTCAGGTTTGGAATGCACTACACGATGGGTGTGTATCCTGATATGAGTGTCATCTCTAGTACTGATGCATGCCTTGCACGTCTGCACGTTGATTATCTGCCAAAGTGCATGCCGCCATTTATGGATCCGCAACGTCGTCAATTCACCTATTCATGGATATCAGGGGGCTAATCCTTCAGGCTGCAATCAGAATTTTTTATGGTGGCAATAATCTTGATATGCTGGTCGAATTGGACAGCTAGGAATGACTTCATTTTTAAAGGACTCCAGCCAGATGTGCAAAACTGCAAGAGGAATTTCTTCAAAGAACTGAAATTGGTTCTGCTCAGGGTTAAACCAGGCGCACTCACAAGATTTGAATTATGGCTACAGAATATTTCGTCGCTCTAGTACAGAGAACTTGTTTAATTTTCTTCGTTTTTTTTTTGTTCCCTGATGGTCATTCCTGTTGGCTGCATGGTGTGTTGTAATCCTTATGTTGTTTTTACTATTTCAATAAAATCCCTGTAGGGGCCAAGGCCCCTCTAGTTCTCTCTCTCAAAAAAAAAAATCCTTGGTGATCCAGATAGCAAGGTTAACTAGTGGGCTAAAAAAAATAGTTAAGTCAATGCTAGTTATTTGTCCATTAGCTGGGCACAAATAACTAAGAAGAGCAAAAACTTGCGTAGCTATATTCTGAGATAATACCGGTGATAAACTACCAATTAGACATGTTGTGCTTTGGTCCTAGTATGTGTGGAGTTTGAGTTCGCAACTGAACAGATTCATAACAGTCTTGGATCCAAGCTTCTGAGAATCCTCATCGTCGGTAGCACTTGCCAATCGGCAAGGCATCTGGCAACCAAGGCTCCAGTTATAAATTAGGTGGTGGCCTTGTCGCGGCGCTGTCCGTGGTCATCGGGCCATGGACTGACATGGCACCAAGCTGGCCATGTCAGCTTGGTCCTCCGCAGCTATAGTTGTCCATCGGGCCGACCGGTCCAGCACGACACGGGCACGGTCCAGACACGGCCTGTAGGGGTCCCCCTGGCACGGCCCGTGCCTCCACGGGCCTCGTGTCCGGTCTTTGGCTTAAGCACGGCACTGCGGGTCGAAAATTATATCGTATCGGTCCGTTAAGCACAGTCAAATCACGGTGCCATGTCAGTCCATGGCCCGATGACCTAAACACACCTTAAAATGTTGCTCCCATCACACTCTTCTTAATTTTCATAGTTGCACAGATTCATTCACAAACCATTAGCTAAACTCATTCACAATCACAAACATAACATTCTAAACTTATCACAGATTCTA